GATTTACAGATCTCTGCAAAATGGTCCATCTCCTCAGCCAACCTGCTGTGGGCAGGCGTGGGGCAGGCGTGGGGCAGACGAGATCTCCGGGCAGCTGCTTCGACCCTGTGCCTTGTGGAATGGCTGCTTGGAGCACAAATCCAGAAGGCACTGGGCCTGCCAGAGCCGTGGTTTAGGGGCACCCCCCCCACCACCGTTCTTCCAAAGTCTGGTAACGCCCAGTGTTGTGGGTTATTGGCTTCTACTCTTCTGTGCCCTTCACTCATGAAGCTCAGCAGCCATTCGACAGGCATGCTGGGCGGTGGTGAAAAGGCCAGGCTTGTCCTCAGAAGACAGGTTCCAAAATACTCTTGCCTTTGTCTGTTTTTTAAAAATTAATCATGTTCCTATTTGCTTAGGGTCCCGTCCATTTTAATAGAATATTAAAACTTTGAAACAAGCGCAGAAGTGATGCCAACCTCTGACAGAGAGAGCCAAAGGGCCAGAGAGCCAGGCGACGTAAATTCTGGGAGAGCCTAACTTTACTGTCCAAACTGATGAAAATAACCAGATAATCCAAACCAGCAGTTTATTTCAGAAAGTCTACACCGGGTATATGTCAGTTTCCACACTTACCATGTGAAACTGAGTTAGGAGACACTTTGAACATTTTGAGATAGTTCGATATTATTACGTCTCCAACAAGATCTATGTGTAGACTCTTATTTTCTAGATTTGGTTACAGGGCAAATCATCCCAGTTCTCTTCTTTCTTCCCTCCTTCATTCCTTGCTCTCTTTCATTTGTCCCCAAGCACCTACCCAGTGCTGCCACTGCTCTGGGTGCAGCAGCTCAGGGTGAGCAAGGCAACGGTGCCTTCAAGGAGCTACCTTCCCCAGTTGAGCAAATAGACACTGGAGATTCGAGGTGCCAGGGTGAGGGGAACAGGGCCCACGAGCTGGCCGAGAGTGGAAACTCTGCTTCCTGACTGTGGATGTGCTAACAGCCAGACCTGCCCTGGTTGACGTCTGTGTCCACCTGGCAGGTGGGCAGGGCCATCCCTGGCCATCCAATGGCCCTGTCTAGGGAGCTGTCGCCCTCTTTTCCCAGCCACTGTGTCCTGGCCCCGCATCAGCAGCCAGCTCACGTGGTAGCTGGACTCTGCCAGCAGCAGGGAGTTGGCAGCGGACAAAAAACCCGTCCCTGCCCCCACGTCGGGAGACATAGTGCTGAGAGCACTTCACTGGGGGACAGTGAGCACATGGGCCGCCAGGGTGTGGGGGACGTGAAGTGGGGAGGCCCTAAAATGTGAGAAGATAAAGGTGCATCTGTGTTTGTCCACACGCTGCGGTTTTATACACTGATCTTCCCCACTGCTTTTCATAGCTAGATGGGTCCAAGAGCCAAGACCCTGAACGAACGGTGGCAGGGGGCCGGCAGGTGTGATGGGGTCCCAGGATGCCTTCCAGAACCGCACAGGGTGAAGGTTTCACTCTACTTCAAGCTGACAAGGTGCCAGGCACATTCTCACTGTGCTGACAGAAGACACAAGGCCCCTGGGTCGGAGATAGAGTTTACTCCTCACAGCAACCGACTCGAGGGTCAGTGCACATGTGTGTATGGGGGGGGGGCAGTTCCCCGAGCCCCCATTCCAGAAGGACGCTGCACCTGCGGGGCTGCGTAGCAGGAGAGGACCCGAGTATCACAGCAGCCAAAAAGCAAAGCAGCAACTTCTGAGGGCAACATCACCTCCTCAATGCTGCTCACTTCACCACCCAGGTAACCAGAGGCAGGCCTTTGCATTCTTGGTTGCTGGGGAGAGGGGTGAGAGATTCATGTAGGGCTGTCTCCCAACAAAAGCCAGTTAAGAAAGCTTTGAGATCCAGCCTCAGCTGGATCAGGAGGCAGCAGGAAGCCATTCCCTTGTCAGCAGGCCGGGGCCCTGCTTGCCTTCTGGGCCCTGGTGCCCTGTGAGTAACATCACTGAGTGGGGCTGGCCCCGGAGGACGGAGGCCTGGCATGGAGGGACAGCTGGCATTTCCCTTCCTGTGTCCCCCAAATGCTTACTCTGCCCCATAAGAAGGGGACCATGGGGCAAGGCCCCTCTGCTTGCCCCAGCCCCACAGTGCACCCTGCTTCATGGCAGCCTAAGATGGGTGCCTCACTGACACCTGGCTAAGCCCTGGGCAGGCCTCCGGTTTTGACTGACAACAGCAGCATTGAGGGCCTCCGTGAGGCCTCACACAAAGTACTGAGGTCACCCCTAGAACTGCTGGCTCCCCCACTGCTCCAAGTTCTATCAGGCATGGACTCACCGAGCCCCTTCTCCCACGATGACAATTCCTATTAAATTTGGGAGGAAGGTGTCTAGCTGGCCTATGCACGCAGCTCCTGCAGGCACCTGTCACCTACCTGTAAGTCATCCAGAATTTGAAAAGCAGTTGGCTTACCTAACTTCATCCCCACAAGCTAATTGTGCAATGTGGCCATTGGAGGGGACGCTTCAACTCTATTCTGTCTCCTGCCTTTCTGATCTTACGCTCAGCCCTCCCCATCCTCTGGGACCTGACCCTGAGGCCAGCGGGGCGACTGAACACAGTTCTGGGCAGGCCTTACCTGGCCTACAGTTGGCTGCACATACAGGGGTTAGGGACACCTGTGGGATCCTGCAGTTGCCATCCAGAAGTGCAGGGAAGAAAGTACCCCGAGGTGCCACCCCAAAAGATGGGCCCAAGGGGTGAAGTCTTCTCTTGGAGCAAAGACACAATTCTCCAGGGCTCTGGGAAGGTCAGGGCCCCAGCTCCAGTTGACCACGATGAGGACCCCCCTCAACAGAGCACCCTGGCCCAGGTCTTCTCTCCTTCCCTCCCTCACTCTCCTGCCACAAGCTTCCAGGGAACAAAAATCCTCACTGCACAAGCCCAGACTCGGGCTCTGTTTTCTGGGCTAAGGGAGTGGCGCCCAGGCCAAGAGAAACATCCTATGTGATACTCAAATGAACCCACCTATACAGACCAAAAGTTTTCTCAGCTGTTAAATGCTTCCTGTGATGGGAACCCCATTACTTCATTCACCTGGTAAGAAGTCCAACTCTGGCTTCTTAAATCAACCTCATGACTCTCTACTAGCCTTTAAAAAAAACAAGAGGAAAACACACACACACAAAACCCCGAGTGAGACGTCCATGCAAGCAGACATCTGGCTGCTCCCCCGTGAACAGATCTATTATCAGGGTGCTCTGGCAGCCAGTCTCCTACTGTCCGAGGGTGCTGTCCTCCACCACAATGGGTAGCTCTGGACCTCCCAGCAGTATCCACTGCCCAGGAAGGTCCCACCAGAACTCTGATGGGGTTCGTCCCATCAGGAAACTTGGAAAGGATGCTTGCTTAGAGGTCTGGGCAGACCCACTCAGGGCAGACCCATTCTGACTCCGGGACCAGTGTCCCCAGCCACATCTTGGCCTCCTACACCAGCATCCTAAGAGAGCTGTTGAGCAGTTTTAAAATTCAGAGGCCCTGGCTGGTGGTACCAAGTCTTCTGAATACAGCCAGTATTCACTAAATGTCCTGCATTAAAAATAATAACTTTAAAAAATAAAGAAAAAAGGTTATTATGTGAACCAGAAGTGAGCGGTGGGAGCTTTGCATGGCTTTCCCTTCAGGTGTCCTAGACTTTGTTCACCTTTCCATCCAACCACGTCCTCCCAGTGCCCCTCTCCAGGGAGTGTCAGTCCCTGTGGCCTCTCCCTTGAGAATCTTCCTCCCCTGAAGGGAATAACCTCAGGCCCCCGCCCAGCCACAGCACTGCATTTCTGAAGTGCCTCTTGGCAGGCTGAATGTTTGCAAAAAGCAGACTCTAACCAAATTTTTATTAAGGAGACACAGTGAAAAGGGAATTTCTGGCAGCAGATAGATGTACAGAAAGCCAGGCACGAGGAGCCAAGCCCAAGTCTGAGGCACGAGATGCGGGGAGGGGGGTGCCAGACACCACCCCGTGTCTCCTCCACTGGTTACTGGGGCCCCAGCTCTGAATCAGACCCCATATTCTGGTGGCTACAATGTGACTTTTCACCAAGTGGTTTAAATGAAACCGTCCCTAATATACCAACCCGCGGAAGGTTAGGTCCTTGGAAACACGTGCTCAGAAAGCTCGGCTCCACCGCAGGCGCGGCTGCCTTTCCAGTCGCGCGCCCGCAGTTTCAACCGTGCAGCGGGCTTCGCAAACACCGACGCGGCGGCTCCGGGGACCGCGCTGGGCGCGGCCCGCGGCAGAAGCGGGGCGGCGGCGTCGCCTCAGCCCCGAGCGGCAAAGGGTTTGTCCCGGCAGCGAGGGCTACAAGCGCGCCCGTCAGTTCAGGGGCGTCGGGACGAACCCCGAGTGGGTGCC